CCTCCGATAATAACACTTCAAGTCCTCAGCAGGTGCATGCGTAAGTTCCGCGCAGAGTTAAATCATATATTTTTTCATAGTTTTGTCTATGTGACTCCCCCTCTTCGGTTATTCTCAAATAAAATCACTCACTTTTTGTCTGTTGGTCACTTTACAAATTTTTGTAGCCGTTAACTTAGGCCTTATTTTTCTGACACATTTTCCCCGCACATCATTTAACCCATACTCTGAAATTAATAATGCGTCTGTTCTCAAATTAAACTATTTCTTTGTCGTGGCAGTCTTTTCATGAACGGTCAGATTTCGTGACATCTATCACATTAGTCTTTCATTTTGATTGTCTTATCTTGCTATCGAAGAGTAACTAGAGTTCCTTGAATTTTTGGATCATCGATTAAGGCAACAAAAATAAATGTTGGCGATCTGCATCTTGGACATAAATCCGTGACTCACAACTGACAGTTCCAAAAATGGTGATACATTTTACAGCTGACGATGCTGACAGTACTGAATCTGTCGGTTTAAATTAACTACCCTCGAAAGCAATGTGTCCCCTGTATTCACTCGGCCTGTTCTCTTCAACTGCAAATCCTACGCAGTACATTTTATGGATGAGAAAACTGGTAATCCTGAGATACAGTAGATGACGTACAACGCGCCACACCGGAGTTGCGCTAGGCCAACATGGAGTCCTGATCTGGGTTAGGCACGCATTATCCTGGATGCGCACCGAGGTTAATGCTACACGTAGGTGCATGTTCACGCCTTGCCAACCAGCAGTTCAATCGTCGTTTTCGACGATGTCCACCGTATGCGCCACAACCCTTTGAGTGCTGAGAGGTTTGACTTGCGAGTCGCAATTACTTTAAGATGATAGTAGACTTGCTCGGCATCCGCCGTATCATCTACTTCTTTACATACCTGGACTCGGTGTCAAGACAGAGTCCATGACACCGCGGGCGGGAGAGGGCACAGGTGGCTGGCGTGGCGTGAGCCTGTATCTGGAAGTACCACTACATCCCAGCTGTGTGGCATTTGCGTGTCCCCAGAAACACCCGATCTAGATCCCAAGTTGGTCTACCGCATGTACTGCCTGGTCCGTTGTAGGGACACGCCACACCAACCATTTGCGCCCAGTCCCGACATCAGATGGCTGACCGGCTGATGTATGGGAAAGGGAGGGGATAGTAAATTCGGCACTGCGGTATCCAGTTCTACTACATTTCTACGCATTCCGCGCCGTAAAAATCTGACGCGCCTAAATGTCTTACACTCTGCTAAAAGTCGTGGCTTGGAAGGCTGTCAACTGACGGAATAACTCGACCCAACTCTCAGAACAGAGGTCCTACTGCAGTAACCCCTTCTGAATGTGGGTCCAGTGGCACTCCGAAACACGTGGAATGCGAGCCGTCCCTCTTTCTATGCGGAACCGTAGTCCGTTGTACGTAGCGCCCATAGATCGGTTATTTAACGTTGTAAGTCACTGCGCTCGATAGCGCCTCCGGTCTTCTTGACTCTGTCCTCACATCGACCACAGTTAGATGAGGGGGTAGGGTGCAGTAGATGATGCATAAGTATAACCGCCATAAGCTATTTCACGCGCAATGCACCATCCGGCGCCTGCCATTCTTCGGGACACACGGTTTACCTCGCCTTTCGTGACATTTAAACTGTCAGTCTCTTGAAACTTGAGACAAAATTCTGAAAAGTAGTTCCATTTATAAGTAATTACTTCAGTGAGCTCATAATATTTATTATATTGCAAAAGACTTGCATTCATGGAGATTTTCTATAACCGTAAAATGCCTTCCCAAGCAGCATCTTATTTATGTAGTAGTTCTCGTTGTGAAGCATACAACGGATTCCGGGTCCATTGCAAAAGTTTATGACTGTTATAGCTCCCCTTAAATGAACCGCACACTTTGTCTTTTAGAAACCCTAAACGCGAAATGGTTCGTTTCGAAAATCACTTCGGACTTGATTTCAGAATAAATATAGGCTTTTCATTTTCTGCATAATGTCTGTGATTTATGGTAGAACTTATAACAGCATCGAAAATCGATAAAAGAATTTCCCGCTTCTTAATCAGTCAGTTTTTTTCGTGGGTTTGATTTTCGCATGCGGCCGAAAGAAGGGGCCCTAAAAAGCCATCCTTCGTCATAACCAAAAACTCACCAGATTTTCTCCCTGTCACTTAATATTACAGTCCTGTTTAAGTACTCCTTCATTGTTCAATGAGATACGTCGCCTGCTCTACTCCACCAAAAGGAGTAGGGTATGCAGACTTTCTTTCAAAATAGCTTCGCGTCAATATCCGAAGCCTTCGCATTGCCGTCGTACAATGCTCGTTGCCAACTCCTACCTCGACCCCAGGTGTCTATCTAGGACTTGGTTATTTATCGCTTGAGGTTTCTTTTCAGCTCTTTGAAAGGTTGCCGCGCATCGTATACCACTGTATCGTCAAGGCCGGTTAAGTTAGACCTGGTTTCTGTCATGTTAAATTCAATTATTCTAATTGAAAATGTCGGACTGTAGAGCAAAGCTGACTCGTGGATTGGATTTTAGGGGACCCTACAGCACGTCAATGGACCTTTCTTTGCCTGTAGACGTTACTCCCAAACTATGATTAATATTTTTCTTTATTAGTTTCTGCGCAAAACCCTTTTTCGTGGGGTTTACTGTGTTTTCGAATGTATTAAAACAGCAACCACCCCACTGTTTGTACGTCTTCCGTTCATTTTTAGTCCACAATCCTTTATCCAGTGCCTCTCTACTAATGTCAGTCGGCAGTGCAACATTTTCCCCAGTGGCGTGCTAAGTCAGGACGGGGGTGCATACATTTGCAAGCTGCCCGCCGGTGAGGCCTATATGCTAAACGCTGGGCCGATTAGTCTGGTGGAGGCACTACCGGCCTCCTCAGTCGCCAAACCACCATTCTCCTTCGCTCAGCTGATTGCTCAAGCTTTGATGAGCCAACCCTCGCGTCGTCTTACTCTGGCTGGCATTTACAACTTCATCAGCCAAACCTATCCCTACTACCGGTTGTACGATAAGGGCTGGCAGAACTCTGTTCGTCACAACCTCTCTCTCAGCAAGTATTTTCTCAAGGTAACCCCCACTCCCCCTCGCCAATTGGCTTTGTGTCTGCTACGATTTATGCTCTGTTATTGTTTTTTTATTGAACTTAGCGAAAACTGGCATGTCTCCGATGCTGATATTGTTAGACTCTTTTTGCTCCGCACTTGTTGGCTTCAAGACGAAAAAGTTGGCATTTTTATGACCGTGTGTGGAGTGTGTAGTAGAAGATGACGGTGATAACACCCCACAAGACACTCTGGTTACTGACTACTTGCGGGGTAGTTGTGCGTCTCCAACATATTACACCTTTTGTTGGTCGCCTTTTACTCGTCATTGAAAAGAATTGTGTGCAGATGACTTGGTGGACCAGTAGGACCCTTATGCACGCAGACCATAAACTTCCTTGTTTTTTTTCGAGGAAACTAGTGCCTGAACTTGGAATTAATTTTTTGGAGCAGACATTTTTAGGCTCAGTCCGAAATTTGATGTGAATACTTCAGCTAGTTCCTGTGCCGTCCGCAATTATTTATTTGTACACTACTGATGGCTTTTGAATATTACTCAGTTATTCCGCACTATTCCGCAGTTCAACTATTTATATCAACTTTCGAAGCGAGGCTAAAATGTTTGCTTTTCGAAGGATTTATTCCAAGCTCACATTAATTTCCTCGTAAAGTAAAAAGGGCAGCATGAAAACTGGCGTTCATATACCAGAAAACACATGGGAAATGCTGGGTTCCTCCTCCATCCTGCCGAGCTATGACACAAGCTCGGCGAAACACGCGTCTTAGTTGTCACGAAGTACCGGTGGAAGTACTTGTTGTGACTGACCAAGGAATTAACGAGTCCGGTCGCCGGAGAAATCTCCTCGGCCGTTAAGATGTTATTTGATAAGGTATCTAACTCTGCGTTGTCTCTTGTTCATCATCACTGTGCTCCATCAACGGGCCGCGCGGTAGATTT